AGTATTGGAGATTGAATCCAGGGCACTTTACTAATGAGTTACATCCCCAGCCCATCTTATTTTTTGAGACAGGTTCTTGCTGAATTGATGAAGCTGACTTTGAACTTGCAAACCTCCTGCCTCAGCCTCCCAGGTCATTAGGAGGAACAAAAATTTTTTTTAAAGTATTTTTTTGGTTGTTGATAGATCTTCATTTATTTATTTATGTGTGGTGCTGAGAATCGAACCCAGTGCCTTATACATGCCAGGCAAGTGCAATACCACTGAGCCACAGTGCCAGTCCAGGAAACAAATTTTATAATGAAACTAATGTAGCTTTTATATCTGTTTATTTTCTATAAAAACCAATAAATAACTTGTCCACTCAATCACATAAAAAATCTCTTTCAAATTCCATTTAAAAAACTCTTTTGCAACTTTATAATTTACCCCCAAACCTTTAGCTTTTGCATTATATCTCTTTCTATTTTGGGATCACAGTAATCTTTGCAACAAAAATTTATCCATCAGAACTTTTCTTGGGTTTCATTTTAGCCTACTTTGAAGCCATCCTAACATTAAGTAGGCCAAGAGTTAAGAGCCTCATCTCTCAGATGAGGCTGGCCTTTTGACAAATCTTAAAAGTTTTTTTTTTTTTTTTACATTTGAGGCTAATATGCATCTCCTTTCTAAATGTCATTCTATTTAGGAACATAAGAAAACAAAGTTCTCATATATTGTTTCCTGAGCATATTTGTATGTCAATTAACATGTTAATATCTGAAACATGACTCAAACAGAAAGGCTAACAGAGCTCTTAGTTTCCTTTCTTTGCGGAAAAAGTGGCAAAACGTTTCTATGTTCCACATTGCCAACCTTTAAATGAACTAGGTTGTCTTTATTATCTTTTCAAAAATCCATTTAAATTTCCACCCAGTGTAAAGAGTAATTCTCTCTATATAATTTGTTGATAATAGGTTACTTTAATCTAATTATAAAATATTAGTTGACACAAATAAATCCCCATCCAAATTAGCTATCTTTGTATATGCCTGAAAAAGCCCATCACTATTAACAATTTTAGATTGGAGAATACCAGCTTAGTAAAGTGCTCTCCTCAACTTTACATTGAAGAAGGCTTATCACAGTTACACAGATGTCCTTTATATACTTATTAACTTAATTTTAAATCTTGAAACAAAATTCAGAATTCATGGCTTCATAGGACAAGTACAATTAAAAATCCATAGAGGTTAACAGCATTGACAAAAATTCAAGGATATTAACCTCTTATAAGTCAATGAACACAAACAGACATAGTACCTGTTATACAAGTGCATCTCATATGTATAATAACAAGGTGCTTATTCATTTAAAGCAGATGCAGACCAAATATAAATGGCAGAAATGCCAAAAATTTCATTGACCATTTTGAGTGTTAAGATTCAGATATAATGTATATTGTAAAGAAGAGAGCACTTATGGGTTACCTTGCTTATATTAAACCTATGTAGCTTTTTATATGAACTTTTGCATATCATTTAGACATTTAACTCTCAGATGTAAACATATCTCTAGTCACATATATTTAGGGTTCAAATATACTATAATAGACTAAGATTAGAGTTATTCATTTAACCAGAGTTTTGAAGTGATCATTTAAAAGACTTTAAAACAGACAGGTACTTAAATCCTAATTCTTTTAAGACTAAGTTTCCTTAAGTAATGGAAACTAATAGACATAAGACATTATCTTGATAAAATACAAAATCTTTATTTTTATTTTTTTATTTAGGTACCGGGGATTGAACTCAGGGGCACTCAACACTGAGCCACATCTCTATCCCTTTTTTGTATTTTATTTAGAGAGAGAGTCTCACTGAGTTGCTTAGCGCCTCACAGTTGCTGATGCTAGCTTTGAACTCTTGATCCTCCTGCTTCAGCTTCTGCAGCTACTGTGATTACAAGCATGTACCACCTTGCTAGGCCAAAATCTTTATTTTTTAAGCCAGTTCTTGCAAATGTTATTAATGCAGATCAATGATTTAAGAAAACCTTGTTGTCTTAAACGTAGAGAATTAGATTCTGGTTTTATGTCAGTATATTAAATTTTGACCTTACAAAACCCTTACACAATCTTTTAATTATAGTCAACTTCATCACACAAACAAATTTCCAAAGGTTTATCTTCCATAAACCTCTGTGACTTAATTGGACACTCTACAACTTGTTTCCATCCTTAGTTTTGTCCCCTCTCTCTTTTTCCCATCTTGAACTTTAGAACAACAACAAAAATATCTCACTTTTTCATTCAGAAATATTCTCCAAAATAAATCTTCATACTCAAAACCTTTTTTAGGTCTGGGGATGTGGCTCAAGCGGTAGCGCGCTCGCGTGGCGTGTGTGCGGCCCAGGTTCGATCCTCAGCACCACATACGAACAAAGATGTTGTGTCCGCCGAGAACTAAAAAATAAATATTAAAAAATTCTCTCTCTCTCTCTCTCCCACTCTCTCTTAAAAATAAAAAACCTATTTATATCTCTTTATCCTTCTTGCTGATTCTTTTCTGCCTCTTTGCTTCCTTACTTAAGGTTATAATTTAAAACAGCCTTTATGAAATTTCTGAACTTAAGTCAAATTACTCCTTTTTGTCAAGAAGACAAAATATGCTTTTTACATAAAATCCTCAGAGGACTGCAATATGCAGCCCTGCCTGGGAACCATGGCCTGATGGTCTTGACCATGCTTGATTGTCACACTGGCTTCCCCCTCCCTAAAGGTTTCTTATTTTCCCCAAGGACTATTGAAGTTCACCTCCTCAGAGGGTTCTTACATGACTCAAAAAGGCAATTTATCCCCACTTTGTATTACCTTCACCTGATTTTTTTCTTTTTAATATTATCATTTGATAATATCATTTTGCTTATTATTATTTTCTTCCTGATTGCTCTTCTCTAAGTAATAGTGGAGATGTGGGTTTGCCTGTTGGGATAGGGACAGGGTCTTTATCTTGTCCAATTGTTGAATCTACAAGTGAATGAGTAAATAGCTTATCATTAAGAGGTAGTTTCATCATCATCATCATTATTGTTATTTTAAATCATCATTATTTTAAATCCTTGTTGTGCGAATGAGAAAATTGAGGTAGAGGGGTTAAGGTTCCTACCTAGTTTCTTCCAGCAGCAGGCAACAGGCCCAGGATGCAAGCTTGCGTTTACCTGACTCAAGCAAAGCACTCTCAACAAACCTCTGTCCTGTCCCTCCTTCCATCTATGTTATGGTCTTGGTTTTTAGTCACTGGGTATGCTAACTTCTGGAAACTCTTCATATGGCGGTGCCAGATACACTAATCTGAAAGGAATGTGCTCACTCACTATGCAGTTTTCCAAGGTGGCTGGGAGAATGAACCTTTTACTGCTCAAGGCCGTTGACCTTGGCAGTGTGATGATGGAGAGAATCTGGGACTAAGAGAATGGAATCCGGCAGCTACCAAGATGAAGGAATGATGCTGGAAATACTTCTTTGCCTAATTCTGGGTGATGCTCTAGGGAGTTTTGCTAAGAGCCACAGCCGACTAATATGAGCATTTTTGGTTGAAAGGTGACGGCCAGCAAGCCATTGAGATGATATGATTATGTTAAGATCTGCATTTATATGGATATTGGACTCCTGCTGTCCACCTAGGCCTGCTAGGGGCTCCTGGAGAGTTCCCATTGGTTGGGGAAGTGCAGTAGGAGTTGGGTCGGTTGGCAATCTTGCCTGGAGCACACGGGCATTGGCGGCAGTTTCAAAAATAAAGTTTGTTCCTGCTTGAGTGGCTCGTGATTTTGTGCCCAGCCAGACTGCCGCAGAGTTTCAGTGCTGACATTATAGCCCCCACCATCCACCTAGGAGCACTCCCACATGGGCATCTCTCATACAATCTACAGGATCAGCTGCAGGAGAAATGATTTCAAGTAATGCTTCTGCCATGTACCATTTGGGCAAGTCCTCTTGTCCCTTGGACCTCAAATCACACTTGTGTGTAAGGAAGAGGTTCCCTAAGATGGAAGAGGGGAGAGTTTATCATAATGAGAGGATCATTAGAAAAATCTGGAGCCTAGTTGACAGTAAAGTACAGATGACATGTTCTTAGTTTTTGGAAAAGTGCCATGACATTTTAATGTTAAAAAGGGAATTGGAAGAGAGTTTCGAACTATTTCCGTAAACTTTTCTATAAATTTTAAATTCATTTCAAAATACAGTTTATTAAAAAAAAAATTAGGTAACTTTTAATTTTTACTTATGCACTCATTTACCTAACAATGACTATTATGTGTCAGGCACTGGGTATCCATCAGTGACTAAAATTTATGGTTTTACCTCTTGTGAAGTGTACAATCTAGTGGTTATTTGCTAGAAATAATATTTCTATTGTTTTTACTTAAAGCAAACTTCAACTAGCAGAGTCAGGTTGTTTCATCTCTTAGCTGTGTGACTTCCGCAAAGCTAACCTCACCGCATTCCCTCTGTGCTAAAACAGGGCTAAAACCTAGATGCTCTCCATAAGGCCTTAGCCTGCCTTAAAGCATTTATAATAAGAAGACAGTGATTCGTAACGTGAGCAGTTGTTGTCTATGCAGGGAGCATGTCATGTTTGAGGAGAAGGACTTGGTCGTGATAAAACTGGGTACGTGGGTCCTTAAGATCCCCGGGTGGTGACGGACACATCCCTGCCCCCGCCCTCCCGCTCCGGTCCCCCTAACCGCTCTCAGTTCCCGGGCGCCTCACGCTCAGCTCCGCCCCCGCCCTGGCTCCCAGTCTCGCCCCGCCCTAGCGCTCAGCTCCGCCCCGCACTGGGTTCCGCCTCCCCCCCCACCCAGCTCTCAGCCCCGCCCCTCTCTGGCGCTTGGCCCCGCCCCTTTCTCGCGCTAAGCTGTGTTGGGTTCCTCCTCCGGTTCAACCTCTGCACATTGGAAGGAGGCGGTTTACATTCGCGCTGGGGGGCGGAGCCGGGAAAGATCCTTCCAATTCCTACCCTAATATCTCCCACTGGGCGGAGCTGGACAGGGCAGGGCCAACCTGCTGGTGGCTGAACTCAGCTTTTGCATAGCGAAGCACAGCTTTGCATACCCAATGAAGGCAGGCATTTAAAGGCGCCGCTGGTGCTTCAATCCTTGTAGTTAACTCCGCGCGGATCCACCCTTCGCGATGCATTCCTTGATGCGTACTCTGCTCCTGATCTTCCTGGGCTTGCTTCTTGCCGGCCCTGCGGCCCGGGCGCGCGCAGTCCTAAACCGCGTGAGTTCCCCCTCCTTTTAGGAGGCTGCTTGCAACCTCCTGGCCCTACTGGGGTTGTGCGGGTGGGTGGCATATGGGGCTGTGGTCTCACTGTCTCTTAGTGTTTCCTTTTCTGCAAGCAGAGCCTCCCAAAGCGATCAAATATGGGACTCTGTGCAGTGATGGTGTAGTGCTCCATACTCTTTTGAAGGGAGTAATCTCGCTCCCATCTGTATTCCTGCCCTCTCCTAGCGCCTGAGCTGCACAGACCCGCAGAGTTAAAGCACTGCTCCAGGCGCAGAGACTTGGACCTGTTTCTCTGCTCCATACCCATTATCCCTGCTTCCCGTGATGGGGCCTGGTGCCTCATGCCTTCTCTTGCCCAAATTCTCTGAATTCTTCCTGGGGAGTGGGTGGGAGGTCTATACTTGTCCAGACCTGTGACCCCGCTGGTTGTGGGCCACCAAGAGGACAGGCCTTCCCACCTTCCAAACTTCCCCCTTCACTTCTTTTTTATCCCATGCTGCAGACCCCTGGAAAAGGGAAGTTCTGTCATTCTGAGACCTAATTAGTCCCGTTCCATTGCCTCTTTGCTTCACAGCTGTGGACAAGACACGTCTGTGGTAGCAAAGGGACAGGTCAAATGCAGATCACTTCCCCACACCACCTTGGAGGTTTGTTCCAGAGAGAGGAACAGTATGGTGTAGGGGAAAGTGGGTAGGACCCATCAGAGGAGGCCTGGCTTCTGATCCCTCTCTGTTCCAATCCATGACTCCCTGAGTCTTGGTTTTTTCATTTGTAGAGTGTGATGTCTGGGTTGTTGTCAGGAAAGGAAACTGCCTTCTCTTGATCTCCCTTGCTCAGAGCAGGAAGACTATTTTGCCTGTTTCTTTTTCTTTTTTAGATGTTGCTAGACCTTTATTCATTTTATTTTATTTTATATGTGGTGCCGAGAATCTAGTGCTCACACATGCTAGGCAAGCACTCTACCACTGAGCCACAAACCCAGCCCCTATTTTGCCTGTTGAATGAAGGAGTGAGGACCTTTTGGCCTTATGTACACAAAGCCTTTGCACCTTGTCTCTGAGTGTGGTTGAGGCATGGCTACCCACTGTGGGGTCTGGTAGAGGCTCTGAGCTTGCTCTACATCCCTTTTCTCTTGTATACCTTGTGTATGGGTACCATCCCAAACCATTGGGGTCTTAGACTTGCAGTTTTAGCTAGGCTCTGAGACATCATAGAGGTTACCCACTTCACTCAGTCCTTTAGGGGCTCACTCAAGATCACACAGCAAGTGGCACTTTCAGTTTATATTTTCTTATCAAGTGTATATTTTCACTGGGCTCATGTGATTCAGAGTCCTGGCAGGATTCTGTGACAAGGGCCAGATAAAGGTAGTGGGGTGACAAGTCAGTGTTTCAGCCTCTGGAAACCTGAATTCTAGTTCTGGCATTAATCCGACTCAGTGATTCTGGGCTATTAAAAAGTCTATTAAACACCTTAGCTCTGTGGAGGCACATAGTAGGTGCTTAATAGACTTTTTAATGCTATACAGTGTTATTTATTGTACACTACTAGGTGTTATGCATTGAGTCTTGTGCTTTTTTTTCTAATACATTTTTAAATTTTGAAATAATTTTAGATTTATAGAAACTATGCAAAGATAGTATAGAGCTTCAATATTCACCTCGTTTTCATTGTTAGCATCTTATATTATCAGCATACTTTGTCAAAACTATGAAACCAACATAAGTACATTATGATTAACTAAACTCTAGATTTTATTTGTGTTTCACCAGTTTTCCATTAATGTCTTCTTCCTGTTCCAGGATCTGGTTTAGGACACCACATGGTATTGTCATGTCTTGCCACTGTCTTGTGGCCTGTGATAGTTTCTCAGTCTTTCCTTGTTTTTTTTTTTTTTTTTTTTTTTCCCACGAGCTTGAAAGTCTTGATGAGTTGAACTCTGTGCTTTGTGTATACAAGTTTCTTACCCTCGCAATAACCCTGCGAGAAGATATAATTAAGCCCATTTAATGGCTGAGGAAATTGAATCTTGAGGGATTCACTTAGCTATGGTCTCAGCAGTGAGAGCTGCTGAGGTATGATTTTCACCTATGTCTCTGATTTGCACAAATATTTCTGCCTCCATTGTCAGGTCTTTCCCATCTTCCATATGCTGCTTCTTCCCATGTATTGGTCTAGGATGGGGATGGCAGATGCCTGGTACTCAGCCTGGTCCTGGGTGGGCATTGCTAATTATTTACTTTCCCCAGGGAGCCTGGATGCAGCTGCAAAACCCCTCTCCATAGCTGTGGCTAGCCAGGTGGTACCTGAAAAGTACCTTATTACATCTCCCCCAGGACCTAGAAATATGGAAGGAGTTTAGGAGAGGGGAGAAGGATCTAAAGGGGTATTCTGGAAACTTCCCTCAGCTCAGAAATAATCCTCAATGTGAATCAGATTATTTTAGAGTTGGGAAAGCAGCCTCAGAGAATAGTGAGTCCTCCTACCTATTTCTTCAGCCCAGATCTTAACTCCGGGTACTTTTTCACTTGATAGTGACCTCCCAAATGATCCCCCCTTTCAGGTTGTCTGTTCACAACTATAAATCAGAGCCTGGTGTTTTTCTTCAGTGGGTTTTATTGCACCATGGTCAATTCAGCCTCCTGATTATAACCTATGAAGTCCTATATTAAATGACCTTGCCACCCCTCCAGCCTCAGCCATGTTCCTCCTCCAACACATCTAGCCTGTTGGCTTTGTAGTGAGTGCCTGGTGCAGCTAGGCTTCTTCCTGCCGCAGGGCCTTTGCTATATTCTCTCAGCACACACATGGCTGACTCCTCATCCTTCAGGTCTAGCTTTTCCCCACCACCCTACTTAAGTGGGTCCTTTGTTACTCTCAACATCACCTTCTGTTCTTTTCCTTTGTGGCACTCAAAAATTTTAGTGCTGTTTATTTATATTAGACTATAAGCTCCACAAGGCAGGGCAGGGGCCATGTCTGATTGTTTACCACTAATTGACACAGTCCTTAGGGCCTGTAGTTGTTGCTCCATACATATTTGTGGAATGAATATTGAAGGAAACATTTGCTGGCACCTATTCCGTCCTGCCTTTCTTAGTCACGGTGGGACTAGTCATTCCAAGGATTAGAAACCCATTCCAAGGAGCTCAAGTAAAGGGAAGTTTAACAGGTATACACGGAACTCAGGGCAGGAAGTGGAGGCTGGGATGTCTCATGGCTGTCATTTAGTGAGCCAGCGTGAATTTTGGCCTGGTGTTATGAGCTTGACATCCATGCTTGTCCCCTTGTGACAGCCTTGAGAGGGAGATAAAAATGCCTCCACATAAAAGATGTGGAAACTTTGGCTCCAGGGGGTTCTGACCTATGGAATTACTCAGGAAATGTGGCCGAGCTATGATTTCAGCCTGGGTCAGCTTGACCGGAGCCTTCCTTTGACATGCGTCGCTCCAAAGCCATGTCCCTCACTGCTTTGTACACAGGGTAGTCACTTTATCTTGTTCCCTTTTCCACAGACCAGCAGAACCCTTCATTCTTTCTCAATGTCAGTTTGGTCATGATTCAGGTCTGGATAGAATATCTTTGCCAGCTACTCTTCCAACAGAAGATTTATATCCATAATATATATATGGAGATACTTATTATATTATATTATTAATACAGTGTGTGTGTAATATATATATATAATCAACACCAAAATAACCCAATCAGTAAATGGGTAAATGAACTAAACAGACATTTCTCAACATTAGATGCTTTGGCCCCAACCCCAAACTCATGACCCAAGAGCACTAAGCCCCATGTTCCAGGGATGATACAGTCTTTTGTGTCCTCATTCTAAAATCAGAATCTGTCAATCTTTGGGTTAGGTGTTTCTTTTCCTCCACACCCTCTTTGGTGCTGGGGATTGAACCACATGTTCTCTCTTGTCCAGTCAGCTGTGGGGATGTTGAAGATGGAGGTCAGCTTGGAAGCATGGGACTGGCAGGTTTTCTTTTTAAGACTGAGTGTGGATGGTGGGACTCTTGATGGTCTCATGTAGGTGGCCTTTGGGGGCTGGGAAAGGTGTGAGCAGGTGGGAGAGTTTGTACAGAGTGGGGTGTGTTAAAGATCATGAGGTCCTGTGGGAGTGAGAAGTGAGCCGGACAAGATGGGGTAGAATCAGGAGACCTCCTGGGGGATCTGGAGGAAGAATGAGAGAAGTGGCTCTGCAGAGGGACGGAGGAGGGTGACTCAAGTAGGGGGACGTGGCATGAGTGATGGAGTGAGAGTAAGAAAGCGCTACCTGGGGTGGGGCAAGTCTGTTTCCTGGGGATTGTTCATCAACAAGGGGCCCACGGGGGATCTTTGCATGTGTGTCCTTGTTCTCTTGAGGATAGGGCTTGGGGTGCTGTTATGTTTCCCACGTGCTTTGTGTTCTTTGTTGTTCCTGGCCCTGGATTGAGCATGGGGTATGATGTGAATAGGGTCCTGGATGTGGATTTCAGAGGTGAGTCTTCCAGGAGCTTGTCATCTACTGGGATCCCAAGGCTGGCTAGAGAGGAGTGGACAGCAGGGAGGGGGCAGATCCGAGAAGGCACCTGCCAAAAAACAAGGTTAGTCATCTATTTTGAAGTTCAAGGTCTTTTATATTGTGCCCTATAATGTTCGATATACTATATAAGGGCTATACTCTTTTATTATAGTCCTGCCTATAAAATGGGTAGGACAAATGTAATCCCAAATTTAAAATAGAGGGTTGCAGATGGCTCAAAGAGGGGAGGTGCCTCATGTAAGGTTGTACCATCGGTAGGCTCACACCATCAGCAGCCTGTTCTGTCAATTCTTCTGACCTGAGATGGTTCCATTGTTTTTTTGAGTTCAAATATTTTATGGGATTCATGTATGTAATTAAAATAACCAGTAGCAATGACAATTCTTTTATCATTTCAAATGCATACGTATCACTCCGAATTTTTCATATCTTGATTCATAAAAACCAAAATAATCTGTCAACTTCACTTTTTTCCTCTTTCTTTGTTACCTGACTGTCCCTAGCCCCCCCAGCTTGGTAGCTTTTCCTGGGATAACTGTGATGAAGGGAAGGACCCTGCTGTGATCAAAAGCCTGATGTTGGAACCTGACCCCATTGTCGTTCCTGGGAATGTGACTGTCAGTGTTGAGGGCAAGACCAGTGTTCCCCTCACTTCGCCTCAGAAGGTGAGTTGGGGTAGGTGGGGAGAGGGAGGTGGTATGGGCAGCCATCCGAGGCCCTGAGAGGCAGTTGCTCAGGGAACTGAAGAATTTTCGAATCCAGCGATCCAAGAGCAGCACATGAGGCACAGATCCAGTGACTCTTATTAAGCTTTGTGAAATCTCAGGATCACAGGGTTGCAGGAAATCCCTGATGTCAGCCCAATGACTTCCTGAAGAGGGCATGGATGATTGATCCATTCTCTGGACGTGATGGTCCACTCTGGTTGGCAATTGGGTTTTGTTGTTGATGTTAATTACAAAGTAGTGACATATAGTTATAAAACCATGTTAGAAACTGCAGATGGTTAAAGGTCAGGAAATAATACAATCAATAAGTTGGGTGGCATCAATTAAAAAAGAACTTCTGCACAGAAAAGGAGACAAGAATGTGAAGAAAGAGTCTACTGGATAAGAGAATATCTTTGCCAGCTACTCTTCCAACAGAAGATTAATATCCATAATATATATATGAATCTCAGGAAAATCAACACCAGAATAAACCCAAATAACCCGATCAATAAATGGGCAAATGAACTAAACAGACATTTCTCAAAAGAAGAAATACAATTGGCCAACAAATATAAAAAGAAATGTTCAGCATCCTTAATCAGCAGGGAAATGCAAATCTAAACTACACTGAGACTTCATTTTACTCCAGATAGAGTGGCAATTGTCAAGAATACAAACAGCCAGGTGTGGTGGCGCACGCCTGTAATCCCAGTGGCTGGGGAGGCTGAGGCAGGAGGATCGTGAGTTCAAAGCCAGCCTCAGCAACTTAGTGAGACCCTAAGAAACTCAGGGGGACCCTGTCTCAAAATAAAATACTAAAAAGGGCTGGTGTGGTGGTATGGCTCAGTGGTTGAGTGCCCCCGAGTTCAATCCTCAGTACAAAAAAAAAAAAAGAAATAATGCTGATGAGTTTGTGGGGAAAAGGAACATTACTCTGTTTGTGGGACTGTAAATTAGTATAACCGTTATGAAAATCAATACGATGTTTCCTCAAAAGACTAGGCATACAGCCACAATATGACTTATCCAAAAAAAGTAAAGTCAGCATACTATAGTGAGTGATACAAGCATACCTGTGTTTATAGCAACACAATTAACAATAACCAAATTATGGAACCATTCTAGCTGTCTGTCAAATGGATAAAGAAAATGTGGTATGTATACACAAGGGAGTTTTTTTTTTTTTTTTTTTTTGCATTGAGGAGATGCTCTATCATTAAGTTATATCTCTAGCCCTGTCTATCTATGTGTCCTTCTCTGTTTATTTAGAGATAGGTCTTGCTAAGTTGCCAAGGCTGGCCTTGAACTTGTGATTTTCCTGCCTCAGCTCCTGACCTGCTGGGATTACAGATGTGGGCCATGGTGCCTGGCTGCTCTTTTTTCTATTATTTTACTAGTCATAAATTTGGACCAAGACAATGATGCCTAGCCTGTGAAGGAAACAGAGAGGTCATTTTTTTTTTTTTTGAAACCACAGGAAACTTTGACTCAGATGTAGGTCTCCTTGCAGTCGTGAGATCCACATACCTCACTGTCAATGTGGAGAAACAAGTCCTCAAGAGGGGAGAGGGCTTGTGAAGGGACCCAGCAGGTACTTGCCAACTTAGGGCTGGAACCCAGGATTCATCAGTGCCTCTGTGTCATGGAAGTGCCAGTGAAGTTGTGGAACAGAGAGGTTGATGGTACCTTCTCATCCAGCCCTGCTTGCTTCTCTTTGAGCAAATAGATTGAGAACTAGAAATGAGTCATAGAACTAGAAATGACCCAGCTACACCACTCCTTAGTATTTATCCAAAATAAGTAAAGTCAGCATACTATAGTGAGTGATACAAGCATACCTGGGTTTAGAGCAACACAATTAACAATAACCAAATTATGGAACCATTCTAGCTGTAATCTCCAAGTGGTAGGCATGGCTGTGACCTCAGATCTGGCTGTTGACTTAAGTTCAGTAACTTGTGCTGCTTGTCTACAGGGCCTTGCTGGTTTGGGGTGGGGGTAGGAAAGGTGTAAGGGAAGCACTGCTCCTTCTGGCAGGTGCAGCCCCCCAGGCTGCCAGCTTGGTGGGAGGAGCCCAGGCAGGACTTGCTTCCCCCGTCCCCTCAGCTGGGTGTTCTTGTTCAAGGCATAACTGGCTCAAGCATTTTCACTGGGGTATTGGAGAAACAAGGAGAGAGCATCAGCCAAGGGAGAAGTCAGGCAGGCAGGAGATAGATGTGTCCCATCCCCATTAAACAGGGATGAGAGGTGGGAGGGAAAGGGAGAGAGAAGGGAAATTGCATGGAAATGGAAGGAGACCCTCAGGGTTATACAAAAGTACATACAAGAGGAAGTGAGGGGAAAGGGAAAAATAATACAAGGGGGACAAATGAATGTCAGTAGAGGGGGCAGAGAGAAGAGGGGAGGGGAGGGGAGGGGAGGGGGGATAGTAGAGGATAGGAAAGGCAGCAGAGCACAACAGACACTAGTATGGCAATATGTAAATCAATGGATGTGTAACTGATGTAATTCTGCAATCTGTATATGGGGTAAAAATGGGAGCTCATAACCCACTTGAATCAAAGTGTGAAATATGATATATCAAGAACTATGTAATGTTTTGAACAGCCAACAATAAAAAATTAAAGAGTTAAAAAAAAATAAATTAAAAAAAAAATAAAAAAAAAAATAAACAGATACATGAGGTGGGATGGAAAGGGAGAGAAAAGGGAAATTGCATGGTAATGGAGGGAGACCCTCATTGTTATACAAAATAACATATAAGAGGTGTGAGGGGAATGGGAAAATAAACAAGGAGAGATATGAATTACAGTGGATGGGGTAGAGAGAGAAGATGGGAGGGGAGGGAGGGGGGATGGTAGAGGATAGGAAAGGTAGCAGAATACAACAGTTACTAATAGGGCATTATGTAAAAATGTGGATGTGTAACCGACGTGATTCTGCAATCTGTATTTGGGGTAAATTTGGGAGTTCATAACCAACTTGAATCTAATGTATGAAATATGATATGTCAAGAGCTTTATAATGTTTTGAACAACCAATAAAAAAAAATAAATCTAATCCAGTAACAATGCTGAGAACTTCTGGAAATTAAAAAAAAAAAAAGTGTCCCATCCCCCTGCCCCACTCTACTGGGGATTAAATCCAGAGCCTCGAAAATGCCAGGCAGACACTCTACCACTAAGTGACATCCTCAGCTCACTTTTTTTTTTTTTTTTTTAAATGATTTCCATTTAATTTTATTTTGGGTCAGGATCTTGCTAAGTTGCCCAGGCTGGCTTTGAACTTGCAATTCTTCTGCCTCAGTCTTCTGAGTAGCTGGGGTTACAGGCCTAAGCTGCCATGCCTGGCAGGAGACAGTTTTTGCATTCCAGGCATGATGCTAAGTGCTGGGCAGCTATTGTCCCACTTAGGGAGACCTTGTGAGAGAGACTGGAACTATAAAATACCCCACTTTTGAAGGTGAGGGAATGGAAACAGAGAAGTAGAGTAACTCCCCCAAAGGCATCCTACTAGAAAGGGGGAGAACTAACCTTCCAACTCAGGACCTCTGTCTGGCTCTTCCTGGTCAGAGGAGTAGGAGCAGGCTTGTCAGAGAGGAGGGAGGACTAGTGGAAGGGCTACTGTGCAACTAGGGGTTTGGATAATGGTTGTGTCCTAGAGCAGTTAAGGCCAGCAAAGGAATTCAGTTTGAACTTGTCCATACAGGATACAGGGTGTTCTGACTTGTCCATTCTTGCTGGGCCTGGAGGAGAGGAGCCAATATTCTGATACTTGGAGTAGCTGGAAGGCTTGAGTTGGTAGCCTGAGAACCAGCCTGAGCCTAGCAGACTGTGAAGAAATAAGTACTTCTCCAGGATCTGTCTCTTAGAAACAAAATGCCCCCGAAGCAAGCCTGGGATTCATAAGTTGCTGGAATGTCGGAGTGGAAAGGGATTCTAAAAATGTGGCTTCCTGCCATAAATCTACAAAAAGTTGGATGTTTAAGAGCTAACTTCCTGCTGCCTCTTCCTTACCATTTCCCTTAATAGCTTTAGTGGAGCATGAATGTGGGGACAACTCATTTTGGCACTGGTGGAGCTTATGTAGAATTCATGCTCGATGTGTGCAAGGTACAGCTGGGCTGACCGCTTCTGGTTGAGCTCTGTCCTCTGGAACGGGAGCAGGACCATGACAGCACTGAGGTGTGAGACACATTCTAGATCTTCTCATTCAGCTCCTCAGGTTTTGAGGATCCTTTTGTGGCTTCCCCAACTGAGACTGGAGAGCCTGCCACTTCTGCAGATAGTTTCATCTGTTGTAACCCAGCTGTGATTAAGACCTTGTTATTATTATTTTTGATTATATGACAACAGAATGCATTATGATTCATATTACACAGATAGAGGATAATTTTTCATTTCTCAGGTTGTACACAAAGTAGAGTCACATCCTTCTTGTCTTCTTACATGTACTTAGGGTAATGATGACCCTCCATTCCACCATCTTTACTACCTTTATGCTCTCTCCCTTCCCTTTTCCCCTTTGCCCTATTTAAAATTCATTTAATCTCTCCCCCCGCCCCACATATTGTGGATCAGCATCCTTAAATCAGAGAAATTATTCAGCATTTGGTTTTTTGGGATTGGCTACTTTCACTTAGCATTATATTCTCCAGCTTCATCCATTTACCTGTAAATGCCATGATTTTATTCTCTTTTAATGCTGAGTAATATTCCATTGTGTATTTATACCACATTTTTTTCTGTTCATCTACTGAAGGGCATTTAGGTTGGTTCCACAGTTTAGCTATTGTGAATTGTGCTGCTATAAACATTGATGTGGCTGTGTTCCTGTAATATGCTGATTTTAAGTCCTTTGGGTATAGACTGAGGAGAGGGATAGCTGGGTCAAATGGTGGTTCCATTCCAGGTTTTCCAAGGAATCTCCATACTGCTTTTCATATTGGCTGCACTAATTTGCAGTTCTACCAGCAATGTATGAGTGTACCTTTTCCCCCACATCCTCTCCAACACTTATTACTGTTTGTGTGCATAATAGCTGCCATTCTGACTGGAGTGAGATGAAATCTTAGAGTAGTTTTGACTTGCATTTCTCTAATTATTGAATATTTTTTCATGTACTTGTTGATTGATTATATATCATTTTCTGAGAAGGGTCTGTTCAGTTCCTTGGCTCATTTATTGATTGGGTTATTTGTTATTTTTGGTACTAAGATTTTTGAGTTCTTTATATATTCTAGAGATTAGTGCTTTATCTGTGTGTATGATACGAATTTATTCCCAATTAGTAGGCTCTCTATTCACCTGATTGCTTCTTTTGGCTGTGAAGAAGCTTTTTAGTTTAAATCCATCCCATTTATTGATTCTTGATATTAATCTTGCTCTATACGAGTCTTATTAAGGAAGTGGAGATTTTGGCCTACTTTTTCTTCTAATAGACACAATGTCTCTGTTTTAATTCCTAGGTTCTTGATCCACTTTGAGTTGAGTTTTGGGCATGGTGAGAGATAGGGGTTTAATTTTATTTTGTTGCATATGGATTTCCAATTTTCCCAGCACCATTTCTGTCAGAAGTATAGCTGATAGGCTTCTCCTTGGTCACCAACTCCAGTCATTGCTTAAAGCTGTCTGAAGTCCTGTGTAGAAGAGTTCTGCAGACAAGATGGCCTTAGAAGGAGCCAGGAAACAATGCCACAGTGAAGCTAATTAGTGCAATTTCAGTGGCAAGTGTTAGTTTTAATCAATGGGTAGTGACAACCTCAAGAATTCTAAAATTGAGCCATGCTCAGTAGAACATGCCTTTAATCCCAGCCATTCAGGAGGCTTGGGGTAGGACAATTGCAAGTTTGAGGACAGTCTCAGCAACTTAGTGAGACTTGGTCTCAAAAAATAACAAGGGCTGGGGTATAGTTCAGTGGTAGAGCACCCTTAGGTTCAATTCCCAGTACTGGAAAAAAAATTAAAATTCAATAATTAACGCCTACCATGAGCACAGGAAAGGATGTTGTGCTGGGGCATGTACCACAATATTGTCCTTCTGGGATCAGGCGTAGTGGTGCACACCTGTAATCCCAACAACTTGGGAGGCTGAAGCAGGAGGACTGTAAGTTCAAAGCCAGCCTCAGCAACTTAGCAAGGCCCAAAGCAACTTAGTGAGACCCTGTCTGTAGACAAAATATAAAAAGGGATGGGGATGTGGCTCAGCGGTTAAATGCCCCTGGGTTTACTCTCTAGGACCAAAAAAAAAAAAAAATCCTGCCCAGTTAAATATTCTATGATTAAAACTTAATACTGACCTTTAAAGAGGTTGGGGAGCTGGTGTGTTTGGCCCCAGATTTACATTTGTAACCTTTTTCAAATCCTTTGTCATCAGGTAGAATTAACGGTGGAGAAGGAAGTGGCTGGCTTCTGGGTCAAGATTCCATGTGTGGAGCAGCTTGGCAGCTGTACCTATGAAGACTTCTGTGATGTGCTTAACACTGTAATTCCCCCTGGGGAGCCCTGCCCAGAGCCCCTGCACACCTATGGACTTCCCTGTCACTGTCCCTTCAAGGAAGTACGTACTTAACAAGGTTGGGTGGTGGGGAGCGTTACTTCTGTGGCTGGAGTAAAGAGGGGGTTTGGAGAGGAGAGTCTTTGCGTTCTCCTTTTAGATGTGTCAGTGTGGGGATATGTAAGAATTGCTTATCTTGGGGTGAAGTGGAGGACTTGAACTTAGCTGTGACAGGTCCTTTCGATGCTATGGCAATCTCTAAGATTGTGGGGACCCAGGAGAATGGGAGAAGGAGTTCATGGCAGTCCTCGAGGTGGCTCCAGGAACGAGAGTCCTATCATTGGGTTCCCCTGACCCGTGCTCCACTTCTTTCTCACAGGGCACCTACTTGCTGCCCAAGAGTGATTTCACAGTGCCTGACTTGGAGCTTCCCAGCTGGCTCAGCACCGGGAACTACCGCATCGAGAGCGTCCTGAGCAATGGCGGGAAGCGTCTGGGCTGTGTCAAGATCTCTGCATCTCTAAAGGGCAAATAAAGTGGCAGCAGCCACAGCAGAATGAAGGGATAGAAGGAAGGCCTTTGTCTTCCTTCGTCTTGTTTGCCAAGGCTCAATTCTGACTCTCTGCCGTGTCTTCAAGCCCTTTTCTGTGATGATTCCGCTGCCCTCACTGAATATCCTTATGTGCCACTTATATTTCAAGCTGGTTCAAGCAGCTCTGAACTAAGGGAGGGTGAGTGTGGCAGTTCCCAAGAGCCCAGGATGTCTGTGGGCTAGCCACATCATTCTCCTCCCCATCCAGATAACTTTCCAAGAGCTTCTTTTATTTCCAAGGAAAGGAAACCAACATGTTTGGGGACTTTAAGTTCAGACTGACCCAGTCTTGGCCTCCAGAAGTACCTTTTTAACTTTCTCTTTCTTTTTGTCACTAACTGAAAAGCAGAGTTCAGGGTATTAACATTTTTCATCCTACTCCAAGCCCCTCCTATAGTAAAGGGGCTGAAGTAGTTGATCTGCATCTGCTCCTCCATTAACTTCTATAATTAATTTTGCATTCTTTTCTAGGTTTGCCTGACACTGGGACACAGTGTATCCTGGAGAGGAAGGGTGTATGTGGTTGAGGTTTTCTTGAAGGAGTTATTTTAGGAATGCTTTAGTTGTTTACAATCAGTCTCCAATTCTGGTGGCTTTAGGGCCAAGCAAGAGACATCGGTGAGCAAGAAGGAGCACTAGAAACATGCTGCTTCCAGGTGTTCCTCATTCCTCATGCTATACAAAATAACTAACTAACTAACTAACTGACTGACTGAACTGATACAAGGCAGCTGAGCTCCAGTTTGCAGTTGGAGATATGATATAATGGAGGATGTACTTCAATCCATAAGGGGCAATTGCATTCTAGCCGATGAGTGCCATATAAAAATGTTCTGGGTCCAGAAATGCCAGATAGTCACATTTTTTTCCCCCTAGAGAGGCTAAAAATGCAGATTTTTAAATATGAAATTTTACAATTTTTATGTATTGGCAACTACTTGTTCTTTTTTATGCACTGTTGGGGCCAAAGGGGCCAAATGTACTTGTCTAGGGAAATCTGGCCCATGGAGGGCCAGTTTGCAACCTCCAAGATAAGACTGTCAAGACAACTCTACTACACCATTTCTCCCTCCATAGGCCCAAATCCAAAGTGGCTGGCCCCAAGGAGATCTGCCAGTGCTGGAAGAGGTCTAGGTGGCCTCTCAGCAGTGACCTGCGTGGATCTTGAGGCTACCTGCTCCAGCATTGGAGTTCCTTCAGGTGAGGGACTGATGCTGAAGAATTGAGCACTCTGGCAGCTGCCTTGTGCAGCAGAGATCTGATGAAGAGAAGGTGGATTCTAGGTCAGGCTGCCTGGATTTGTCCACTGCCCTGTTGTGCTGTGATAGCTTTCTGAACCATGGACAGCCCCACATGCCAGGCTTATTTGAAGCCTGAATTGGCAATAAATCTTTTTTAACTTGCTGAGAGTTCCTCCTTGTCTCGGCCGTATGTTTCTTTGGGTATATCTGGGGATTTCAGATGCTTGCTTGCTGTGGGCTGTTTCTGCTGGAAGGGTTTCGTGCAGTGGTCCAGGTGAGCTGAGTTGAGGCATCGCTGGGGACTAGTTATTCTGCTGTTGTCTGGAGCCCTCGTTTCCCTCTGCTAATCCCTGCGCAGCTTCACAGGGATGCTGTTTTTCCTTCTCGCCACGTCATGACCTCGGCGATCTTTCCCCCTGTCCTTGGATCTTTCTCAGTTGTTTACTGGTCCACATTACTGGGATCTCATTGGCTCAGGTAAGATTTGTGTTTGCCTTGCTCGTGGCTCAGATGCTCCTTTGGGGTTTCTCGGGGGTGAGAAGTGAGAGGTGGCTTCTCAAATCATAAGACAAAGTGGACTTTTTAATAAATGTTGCTTCGCCTACTGAAAAGTCATTTGGAAAAACGTTGAAATTAGGTCCATACTTTATACCAGTGCAAAAGGTTGGACTCCCAAATGGACCTGGCTCTGTAAGAAAATGAAACCATACAAATACTAAAAGAAAACAGCTGAAAAATCCAGCGGCCCTAGAAGGTTGGTAAGTAAGTCTGACTACACAAAGAGAGGAAAAAAAAGATGTTTGGCAAAGAACACCATAAAGTCAAAAGACTTGGAGAAAATATTTGCAATACATGTTCTAGACAGAGGTTAATATTCCTACTACATGAAAAACTAAAAATTAAGGAGCAAAGTAACAAAAACTTGATAGAAAAAAATGGGGAAAGAAATGATCACACTCAAATATATAAAAATGAACCATAAACATGAAAAACATATAAACTCATGGGTAGAGAAATCCGAGCTAAAATGATACTGGGAGGGGGCTGGGGATGGAGCTCAGTAGAAGAGCACTTTCTGGGCAAGTTCAAGCCCCTTGGTTCAGTCCCTAGCACCATGTAATACCATTTAGTATCTGTTATTGGGCTGCTGAAAGCTAAGAAAGTATGACAGCATGTCCTGTTAAGCAAGTCTGTAGAGAAGCAGCCCTTCTCGTTGCTGGTGGAAATGCAAATGGAAACCACCTACCATAGTTTGGATCTTGAATTCCCCCAAAGGCCTGTGTTTTAAAGACTTAATCACCAGCCTGTGGCACTACTGGGAGGTGGTGGAACCTTTAGTAGGTGGGTTCTAGTGGACAGAAGTCAGATTGTGTGCCCTTGAAAGGGCTCTTGGGACCCTGGTTGCTTTCTGCTTCCTGGCTGCCAGGAGGTGAGCAGCTTTCTCTACTACATACTCCTCCATGACGTATTGCCTTGTCATAGGCCCAAAGGAATGTGACCAAATGACCATGGAATGAAACCTCTGAAGTGATGAGACAAACTTTTCCTCCTTAGAGTTGATTATCTTAGCTGTTTTGTCACAATGATGATAAACTGACTAGTATAACTCCTGTAGGGGAATTTGTATATTATTTCCAGACCCTGGGATACCAAAATTTGTAGATGCTCAAGTCCCTTATATAGCATCCTCTTGCATTTTTAAAAAATTGTCCTGGGGATTGAATCTGGGACCTTGAGCATATTAGACAACTGCTCTGTCAATGCCCTATGTCTCCAGTCCTTTTAAAAAACTTTATTTTGAGATAGGATCTTGCAATTCTGCTTCAACCTCCTGAATAGCTGGAATTATAGGCATGCACCACCACGCTGGCTTGCTCTTCCATATTTTATTATATTTATTTTTAGTTTTTAAATTTAACATGTGAAGACTTAAATTATAATGATAGGGTAGCACAGTTTTTTTTTGACACATATGTAAATTGTGTAATGATTAAGTCGGGTTAAATATTTATCACTTATTTATTTTTGTAGTTGTAGGTGGACAGCATGCCCTTATTTTATTTGGTCATTTTTATGTGGTGCTGAGGATCCAACCCAGGGCCTCACATGTGCTAGGCAAGCGCTCTACCACGGAGCCCCAGCCCCCATTTATCACTTATTTATGGTGAAAACATTCAAACTCCTAGCTTTTTGAAATATACAGTATGTTATCACTAGCTATACACATCTATTTATATAACAACATAACTGAAGTTCTTATTCCTATGATTTTTTTTTTACCCATTGATCAATCTCTCCACATCCCTTCCTCTCTGTTTCTCTTCCCCAGCCTCAAGTAAACATTCTATTCCCAAGCAATCAACTTTTTTTCTACATTCCTATGAAATCAACTTTTTCCCTCACAATTGAGATCATGCAGTACTTGTCTTTCTGTGCCTTCCCTGCATTTTTAAAATAATCTCTAGATTGCTAATATTGCCTAATACATGTAAATGCTATGTAAAAAGTTGTTATCATATATTATTTAGAGAATAATAACAAAAAAATCTGTATATGTTCAGTACAGACACAATTTTCTTTTTTTTTGAAGAAAAATGTTGATATGCAATTAATTGAATCCATAGATGTGGAACCCATGCACATGGAGGGCTTGTATTGATAAAATTACAAAAACATCCTTTGACCCAACCTCTGGGAATTTTTTCTGAAGATACAACTCCAACCATAAAAAGTACATATGCATTCAGTTTTTCATTATCATGCTGTGATCATAAATAGTAAAAACAACATAAATGTCCCTATATAAGGGATTGAATAAATCTTGACAGTTCAATTTAGTTGCAAAGAAGGAGGAAGATCTTCATGAGTTCTTTTCAAGATACATCGTTAAGTGCAAAAACCAAAGTGTAATAAGTATATGTTATGTTTTGTGTAAGAAAGATAAGGATATAAGACAAGATACATGTATCTGCTCATCTGTGCAAAGTAAACAAGCACAGATTACCCAGAAATGAATGAGATTATTTACCTATGGAGTGTGGGTGGGAATAGAGGGGAAAGAAGGCGGTGTGTGTGTGTATGTGTGTGTGTGTGTGTGTGTGTGTGTGTGTGTGAGAGAGAGAGAGAGAGAGAGAGAGATACCAGGGTATAAAGGAAGAAGAAGATGGGACACTACTCAGTATATCTGTATAACTATGAGTCTTAGAGCCACAGTAATGTTTCCATATGTTACTATGCATTTTATGTAGCATTTATGTGTGCTAAATATTATATGTAGAGAAGATTTAAAACATGCAGGAAAGGCACAGAAAGACAAGTACCACAGATCTCATTCACATGGAATATAGAAAAAATCAAACAGGTTTTGAGGAGAGTTCAAAATGGAATTCAGTAATGAATGAATGAACTGTATTTCAAGTGAATAATACAACCACACTGGCGGGTGAAGAAAAAAATAACTCACTTAAGTTACAGCATTGTGATGGGCTGCCATACAGGAACTGCACACACACACACATTGAGTCTGGTTAGTCAATTTGTTTTTCACAGCTGTAGGGGTTAGTGGTTTGGAAACTATGTTATGTGTACATGAGGAATGAGAAGATAAATATATTGTGGATGAGGGGCATCTTGAAAGGATACAAGAACCAACTTGCTTTTGATGGCTAAATCTTGGGCAACAAAATTTGAACAACCAAATAATGACAAAATGTGTTCTACTCCATTAAGTAAGAATACCCAGGAGAATCCTATATGCAGTGGAATCTCTGTGAAATGTAGAAGGCATGGTAGCAATGGAAAAATGATCAGTAGGCAACACCATAGAAATAATTTTTATAAGAATTATAAGAAACATTTTTGGGTGCCAAAATAGTGGATACAAGTGTGATAGG